AGCAAACGTGTTGATGACGATGTTTATGCCGTGCATCCAAGTCATACCCATATCTGCGCTTCCATGTATTGAAGAACTCGAATGAAGCACCTCACCTGCTCCATGAGCATGAACCATAGACCCTATGGCAGTTCCAAAGACTGCAAAGAACGAGATAGATGTGACAACCTTGAACGGATGATGCAGTTTCTCTGGAGGGATATATAGGAATGGAATCGAGAGAACATTGTAGATGATAAATCCAATAAACTGTTTCAGAGTCATAGGCACAGACTCTGGGAGTGTATTATGAAGATTCATAAAACTTGGGAAGATACAGCTGAGCATAATCGACATTAGTTGAGCACCAGTAAATGCCTGAACACCATACCAGACGACACACAGCACAATACGTTGTATAAGTGCTAGAAACGCTCCGTACATGCCAAACGTGAAGCGACTATAGATTGGGTAGCCAACGTGCCACACAGCACCACCCCAACCATGTGAAAGGGCAACGGCGAAAATGATCATCTTACCTATTATAACCACACACATCGATTGCCACACATTTAGGCCTAAAGCCAGTAGAGATCCACAGGACTGCCATGTCGAGATGGACAGCGCTATGACGTTCCAGAACCCTAAGAAGTCCCAATGTCCCCATGTCCGTCGTGAAGGTGGTAGACATATAACATCTGGCGACCTCCAGTTGTTGGTGCTTACAGTCTCCGAGTCTTTGATCTGGAGCTTAGACAATATTGCATCAACGGAAAGTGGCATGTGTGAGGACAGGGAGCACACACTAGTTGTGTGTGTGGTTGTAGCTAACAAGACACCGGGATAGTACAGTCGACGAGTACACCAACGTCTATGTAGAAGTATAGCTACAAGCCACGTACAATATCCCACTTTTCTGATCAACAAGGAAATTACCACTCTGTGAACAGAGCAAGGAAGGATATGGCGTCTTTTTTATACCTGTGGTGATCGCCAACGGTATATCAAAATTAAATAGTATTAATATTTACATCTATGGCATATTCCAGCATGCCTATTTTATGCTATGACGTGTGAATAGCGATAGTGAAGACAACACTATCTCCACGCCATTACACCTATGCTGGCCGTGTTAAACGTTCTTTGATTAAGCAATAATACATATGTATACGTGCACTTTCATAAAACCTTGTTTTTGAGCGTGAGGTACTAAGCGTGAGGTTCTAAGTGGTGTGTAGATCAAGACTGCATGTGTAATATGGAATCTGAGCTCTAGACGGTACAGCAGCTCTCGAACAGTCAAACAGGATATATTGTGTCATCCGCATCTGGACCATCATAAAACCCAGGTGGAATAGAGTGAGTAAAGAGTGGTATACTCAGAGTGTGAGTCGTGAACGGAATATGGCAACCAATCACACCTCTCCTACATCTTCTAGGTTTGCTTTTGACAGTACATAGAGCTTAAAAAGCCACAGCGAATATCACTCGGTTCTTGCTTCCCAAAGAACTCATATCCGTCTCGACTTTACACATTCTGCCAAGTCTAGTGTGCACCCAGCATGCAATACATTAAGACGTCAAGCAAGATGCTCCCTACACGTTTGTTTCACTGATCCAGATCCAGCTCGATGTTAAGTTATGTATGTATTGCAGGTGTATTTGATGAGCAAAGGTGCATTTTAGGTTAGGTTTAAGGCTGTGCTGTGATGCTTTCCCTTGATAGCAAAGTGGAAGTTATTTTTCAATGAGGCATTAGTGCTGGGTTCATGAGGTTAGGAGTTAAATACACACATGCGGTTGTGTTAAAGCCTGCTAACATAACGGTTATTTTACAGCCGCACGACGCTTCTCAGTTTGGGTCTGTTCGATCAGCGTAAGTTGTGGAACGTAGACTGGTTTGTGAAGATTGTTCTGTACTTTGATCGTATACAAACTATCATCCTGTGTGTTATGCTTGATTGGCAGAAGATTACAGCGTAGTCTAATGAAAAACACGCTTGGAGTCCTAGGTGGTTTTGCTGTGCTGGAAGTGCTTCCCTGCCCACTTGCTTTGATGTAATAGCTTGAGAGCATATCGTTGCGCCATCGTACATTCCGTCGCAATGACGACTGCACCACTGCTCTTGACGCCGAGAGAAACCAGTCAGGAGGGGTGGATGTAAACTATCAACTAATAAAGCACCATCTCATCCAGGAGAGTGTGTAGCAGAACATACGATACTTCGACTAAGGAAATGGTCAGCGGATCCCAGAATTCAGGAACGTTGAACTTTCCCAGAGAAACCCCCACTAAAAACCCCAATATTGTGCCACGCAGCACTACACTGCTCCACCAATCAGTTCGATCTGGTTCCCAACGCGTGCTTAGCGCAAGATCTACAACTAGAATAATACACCGCCAACTCGTACAACACAACCGCTTCCATCAAAGGGCGTGCTAATATTAACCATACAGAGCGCATGCAGGCTTTAGCCAGCTCCGTCACCGGCGGCACAAGGCTCAAATTTCTTACCCAACGCCCAATGATTCCACACGCTCGTCTTTCACCGAGCCAAACTGTAAAGTAGCAAAAATCCGATCACCAGCCGCACTTTTGGTACAGCACACACGTCCTTGGAGTTCCTCTCCGTGGAGCTCATCTCTTCCACGCCAGGTTAAGCTTGCAGTTGGAGTCACACAGTTCTCGCGCTGCTGTTGAGTCACACTCCTGAGAAGCTTTGAAAAGGTTATACAGCGTCCCATATGACCCAGTATGTCCCTTCTGTAGTTAAGTGGTGGCTCGTAAAAGGCTCTTCAAATGTCGCTAATCAACCGTGTAGATGCTTGTTCAGTTTCTGGCCTGGCCAAGGTTTCTGTTCGTGGTTTTTTCTCTCGCTACGCCTAGAGCCCGTCCAAAGGAGAGCACGCTGACTAAAACTCCAACTAGCTTACCCCCCCCCCCCGTTACTGGGGCGTACACGGAGCTTTGTCCCGGTGAAACTTCGTCTCCTTACGGATGTGTTTTCTAAGTCGGTGCCAAAGCCACCAAAATTAAGCTTAATATTCTTCTTCCCCTGCCAAAGGGGGAGGGGGAGAGTCTTTTCAGTGAATTTTGCAGCTGAGGCATGCCAGGTACGCCAAAAATCGACAGATCTAAGTAGAATTGTCCAGTGAAACAAGGGCCCTGGGACATACAGCTTAACAGGGCTACGGGATCCTCAATTCTTGCGTCAAAGAGAGAGAGAAAAAAGAACACTGTGTAGAAACTACATCGTTTTCTACGAATAGTCGGAATATCTGAAGACGGTTCCAGAGACTGCCCGTGTAGATTCACCACAAGGTGCAAACCCCTGACGCTGAGGTTGTCGTTGGCGTGGAGACAGGGACAGAGACAGAAACAAAGACAAGAAAAGTCCGGAGACAAAAACTACGAGAAAATTTTGGACAAAGTGATAGAGGGGGGAAAAAGACGCGAATCACGCCAAAATCTAATAGACAGATATACACACAACAAGGGACACGGGAGCAGATAGGGGAGTCCAGTTGAACGAGCCCAATGTCTGCGGAAGCTCTTCATGCCTTGTTGACCACGAGGGCAGACTTGCTCAAGGATGACACGCTGACGGAGAAAAAACGCGTTCCTTCAACGGGATCAAGCGTCTCAGGGAGTGAAGGAAGCGTGGTGATCACAAGAGAGAACGGTAAGCCGCAAGATCAAATGTTGAAAATCAGAACCAAGAACCTGTCGCTTGACAACAACGAGGAGGATGACTTCAACGACTATGTGATAGAGGATCCTCTTCCGCCGCCGAAGGAGTTACATCCAGACAAGCTCTATGCGCTGTACGCCTTCAAAGGTGATGATCCATCTCACTGCGAGCTTGAGAGGGACGATGCGGTGGTTCTACTAAACGACCAGGACTCATATTGGTGGCTTGTAAGGAAGGAGAAGGACTCTAGCATCGGATTTGCACCTGCTGAGTGCCTGGAGACATACGACGAGAGGCTGGCAAGACTGAACTGCTGGAAAAA